GGCGGGCGCCTGTAGTCCCAGCTACTCGGGAGGCTGAGGCAGGAGAATGGTGTGAACCTGGGAGGCGGAGCTTGCAGTGAGCCAAGATCGCGCCCCTGCACTCCAACCTCGTGACAGAGTGAGACTCCGTCTCAAAAAAAATAAAAATAAAAATAAAAAAGAAGTTTATTTTTCCGTTAGATTAAGCCAGTGAACACAGATGGCTATCCCAATAACCAAGTGAATTTAGGGTGAACCATGTACAGCAAATAGCGTTATCAAGTCCTCTTACTTGAGGACTGGCTGTTGTGTATCTTGAGAGCAGGTGTATAATAAGTTGTATCTGCTTGACTATATAAAGGGTGATTTTTTTTTTTTCTGTCTTTGTAGTCTCTTCGCATATCACGTTCTGGTTTAATGCTTACCCGCTAATAAAACTATTTTCTTTCTCTTCTACCTGGGTAGAGAAGATCTCTGGGTTTGGAGGATATTTTGTTTTTAATTATATTTCACCAACACCAGCATATCCCAAGCCTCTCAGATATACCCTCCCAGTCAAAGGTACACAATCACATCTATCAAAAATGAGGCTCACCTTTCTTTCTTTGCAATCCTTTGGTCTATTATTTCGTTTCTCTTGCCTGGCTAGGACTTGCACTGCATAGAACATTCAGTCCGGTGTGAAATGCAAGTGGCGATAGCAAGAATGTCTCATCTGTGATCTCAGAGGGAACGTGTTCTATACCCTCAGCCCTCTGTGTCGCTGGACTCCACATCTGAGGACCCAGCCAACAACTGGTCAAAAATACTTTTAAAAATCCCAATAAAAATAGCAATACAGCAGGCCGGGCGCGGTGGCTCACGCCTGTAATCCCAGCACTTTGGGAGGCCGAGGCGGGCAGATCACAAGGTCAGGAGATCAAGGTCATCCTGGCTAACATGGTGAAACCCCATCTCTACTAAAAATGCAAAAAATTAGCCGGGCGTGGTGGCGGCGCCTGTAGTCCCAGCTACTCAGGAGGCTGAGGCAGGAGAATGGTGGGAACCCGAGAGGCGGAGCTTGCAGTGAGCCGAGATCGTGCCACTGCACTCCAGCCTGGGCAACAGAGCAAGACTCCTCAAAAAAAAAAAAAAAAGCAATACAACAATGAAAACAATACAAAAATATAACAGTATAATAACTATTTAAGGAGCATTTACATTGTATTACAAGTAATCTAGAGATGATCTAAAGTGTGCAGGAGGCTCAGCATAGGTTAAATGCAAGCGCTCTGCTATTTTATATCACAGACTTGAGCATCAAGGAATTTTGCTATCTGCGGGGAGGTCCTGGACCCAACCCCTGAGGATACTGAAGGACAACTGTATTTTACCTTAAACAGGTTGTTCCTTGTAAGTTTTTGGAGGCTATTCCTTATTATTTTAAGATGTTCCCTTCTACTCGTAGCTAGCTGAGATTTTTTTTTTTTTTAATCATGAATAAGGCTGGGCATGGTGGCTTACGTCTGTAATTCCAGCACTTTGGGAATCTGAGGCAGGAGGCTCACTTGAGCCCAGGAATTTGAGACCAGCCTGAGCAACATAGGGAGACCCCAACTCTACAGAAAATTTAATGAATAAGCTGGGGGTGGTGTCGCGTGCCTGTGGTCCCAGCTACTCAAGAGACTGTAGAGGGGAGGATCACTTGAGCCCAGGAGTTTAGGGTTGTAGTGAGCCGTGATCATGCCACTGCACTCCAGCCTAGGCCACAAAGCTAGACCCTGTCTCAAAAAACATCATGTAAGCTGTAAAATCTTACCATCTTCTTTTTCTGTATCTGCTGAAATTATAACGTGCTTGTTTTCCTTTATGTTAATAAGCTGGGAATGGGAATGTCATATATTGGTTTTTACCTATTAAACCATTGTTGCGTTGTTGGAATACAGTGAATTTGGTCATGATTCTTTAAAACATATTGCCAAATTGGACTTGCTAATATTTAGGATTTTGCATCTATATTTATAGGAAAGACTGGCCTGAAATTTTCCTTTTTCCTATTTGTCAGATCTTTTATCAAGGTTATTCTGTCCTAAAAACGAGTTGGGAAATGACTGTTTTTAATTTTCTGGAAGATTTCCTGTAAAATCAGTGTGATTTCTTCCTTTTAATTTGCTCTTAAAGCTATCTTGATCCTGGAAGATTTTTTTGCGTATGGTGAGGCTATTTAATTACAGATGGCATTACTTTAATAGATAGAGGATTATTCAGTTTTTTTTAGGGGGGGCATGGAGTCTTGCTCTGTTGCCAGTCTGGAGTGCATGGCACGATCTCGGCTCCCTGCAACCTCCGCCGTCCAGGTTCAAGTGATTCTCCTGCCTCAGCCTCCTGAGTAACTGGGACTACAGGCGCCCGCCACCAGGCCTGGCTAATTTTTTTATATTTTTAGTAAAGACAGGATTTCACCAGACAGGGTTTCACCATGTTGGGCAGGATGGTCTCGATCTCCTGACCTCATGATCCGCCTGTCTCAGCCTCCCAAAGTGCCGGGATTACAGGCGTGAGCCACCGCGCCCAGCCCAGATTTTTTGTATCATTTCATTTGTTTTTGGTAATTTGTGTTTGTGTTTTTTGGGATTTTGTCCATTTTATCTAAATTTTCAATTTTATTGGCATAAAGTTTCTCCAATGGTCACCTTATTGTTATTTTGTTACCTGCAAGATTTGCTGTGATGCTCTCTTCTTCCTTCCAAATATTGGCAGTTTGTTTCTCCTCTATTTTTTCTTATCAGTGATGCTAGAGGATTAGTGTTGTTCGGGCGTGTTTTTTTTTTTTTTTTTTTTTTTTTTGAGACTTGCTCAGTTACCCAGGCTGGATACAGTGGCACAATCACGGCTCACTGCAGCCTCCACCTCCCCAGCTCAAATAATCCTCCCGCCTCAGCCTCCCAGGTATCTGGGACCACAGGTGCTGCCACCATGCCCAGCTCTACCTACTTTAAAGCGCTCATCTCCACCATCTGGATCACTTGGTGGCTTGCCGCTGTTTTCTGGTTTTCCTTCCCTTGGTTTTCCGGCCCTCAGTCCTGTCACCCAGGACTTAACCTGGTAATTTCCAGGTGGGGGAAGAGAGGACTCACAGTCCACAGAAGCAGTAGCTGGGATAAAAATATCCCCCAGTCACATCTCAGTGTGTTGAGTCTCCTTGATGCCCATGGGCAGCGTAAAAGGGGCAGGTGGCTGGCAGACTTCAGATGCCCTTCAGGAAGGCAGCCTCTTAGGTACCAAAGCCCCTGGCCTTGATTACCTGAAATCTTCTAAGGCTCTATCACATATCATAGCCCAGACAGAAGGGACACACTGTCCTATAGATGAGGAACCGTACGACCCTATGCACTTACCTTCATCCTTGCAGTCACTTGTTTCTTCTAAAAATGAAGAGGAGGAGGAGAAAAAGAAGGAGGAAGAGGAAAGGAAGAAAGGGAGGGAGGGAGGAAGAGAAAGAGGAGGAGAAAAGAAAGGAAAAGAAAAGAAACCATCAGGTGAATTATGAAGTGGATGGAGACCAAACTCTAAATAGCGCTTCCAGGTGCCTCGAATGAGGAGAGAAGAGAATCAAGTTAGTCTCCTTGTGTCCCTGGATCCCAGGGACTCTCCTGCCTCAGGGCCTTTGCATATACTGTTCTCTCTTCCTGGAATGCCTTTCCTTCAGTTATCTCTGGCTCACCTACCCTTCTTCTTCAAGCCTTTGCTCAAATGTCATGTTCCCTGATCGCCCTTTTAAAACTTTTTTTTTTTTTCTTCTGAGACAGAATTTTGGTCTTGTCTCCCAGGCCAGAGTGCAATGGCACGGTCTCGGCTCACTGCAACATCTGCTTCCCAGGTTCAAGCGATTCTCCTGCCTCAACCTCCCGAGTAGCTGGGATTACAGGTGCACACCACCATGCCCAGCTAATTTTTTCTATTTTTACAAAATTCGTTTCAAAATAATTGTTTGTATTTTAGTAGAGACGGAGTTTCACCATGTTGGCCAGGCTGGTCTTGAACTTCTGACCTCAGGTGATCCACCCGCCTCGGCCTCCCAAATTGCTGGGATTACAGGCATGAGCCACCACGCCTGGCCAAAAAACTTAACTTTCCCGCACTGCATTTCCATCTCCATTACTCTATTGTCTCCATAGGACACAATAGCATCCAGCAGACCCGTAACTACTGCTCTTTGTTTTTCTCCTCTGATTGGAATACACGTTCCACTTGGTCACAGACTTCTATCTGTTTTATCGTCTGCTGCATCTCTAACACCTAGAATACGATTTTGTACAGGAGAGCTAACATCGGTTATTATCTGTTGGACAAATAAAAACAGATTAAACATTTATGATGCAGATGATGATGGGGATGAAGAGTGTAAAGTCTAATGATATTTAAGTCCCCCCTGCCCCCGCCGCCACCATAGAAAAAGCCACTACCTCTATATTTCTGTGCACAGGAGTGGACATAAAATAGCACAGTCACCAGACTTACCATGCAGTACTTGGAGGCTCAGCAAGCCTAAGAAAGATAGGGGCATACAACGTGAGTCAAAAGGGACAGCGTGATAAACACTTCCAGACCAGCAGGTGCAGCAGGCTCTCCCCAAGCCACTCCTCCTCCGAGAAGCCCTGCTGGATTGCCCGCATGGTCCCCTTCACACTGTCCCCACTGCCACCTCCCTCCCGTGCCACACGGATTCCTGTTGTAATTTCACTGCCTGTTACTTGTCCATCTCCCCACCTCCCTTAGACTGTGAGTTGATGTGAGGCTATGAGCTCATCAGATCTATCTTTCAGCTTTTTCACCACCCTGCCCAGCCCTAAAAAGCATTCTTCCCAGACCAGTTTCCCACAGAGTCCCAGGCAAGCATGGAGTGAGGTGTTACCTAGGATCTCTGATGTCCATCCAGAAGGAGATGGGGTCCAGAAGGCAAGACAGGTCAGGGGAGCAGACAGGCCCAGAGTGTGGAGTTCCAAGGAGCCATGGAAGAGGAGGCCACATGTAGGGAAAGATCACAACGTCAGAAGACAGAGCAATGGGAACGCAGGAGAGCAGAGCCCTGGGTGGGTCGTGCTGAGCAGTCAGGACACGGAGCGGTGAACAGGGCGGACAGTCAGAGGCGGCATGATGTGGGTTGGGGGGGCGTGCGGTGACTTGCAGGATTTGCACAGCAGCAAGGTGAGGCTGGGAAGGAAGCTGCCCTGCCATTCCCAGCTCTTCCGTTTGTTTTGTTTTTGTTTTTGTTTTTCAGACGGAGTCTCACTCTGTCACACAGGCTGGAGTGCAGTGGCGCGATCTCGGCTCACTGCAACCTCTGCCTCCAGGGTTCAGGCGATTCTCCTGCCTCAGCCTCCTGAGTAGCTGGGACCACAGGCGCCCACAACCACACCCAGCTAATTTTTGTATTTTTAGTAGAGACGGAGGTTTCACCGTGTTGGCCAGGCTGGTCTAGAACTCCTGACCTCAGGTGATCCGCCTGCCTCGGCCTCCCAAAGTGCTGGGATTACAGGCGTGAGCCACTGCACCGGGCCTTTTTTCCATATATTTTGTGTCGCTCTGATGTAGGCACCTACATACTTATCTGGGGGTGGCACATTGCATCCCACCACCCGTTGTTGTTTTCTGAACTTCTTTAAAAATAACAACTTATGTAAATTCATATAATTTACATAACTTACGATTCACCCATCAAGTGTACAAGATAGTATTTCTTAGTCCATTCACAAAGCTGTGCATCCATCACCATAATCAATTTTAGAACATTTTCATCACCCAAAAAAGAAACCGTGTGCCCGTTGGCCACTGCCTCCAAACCCAGTGCCCCTGAGCAGTCACTCTCCATCTCTCTGGACTCATCCCCCGCTCTCCTGTGGCCCTAGGCAACCGCTAAACTGCTTTCCCTGTCTGTGGACTTGCCTGCTGTGGACATTTCGTAGGGATAGAGTCATACCCTGTGTACTTTGGGTCTAGCTTCTTTCACTGAGCACTGTGTTTTCAAGGCTCATTTATATGTTGTATCCTGTGTCAGCACTTCCTTTGTGGCTGAATAACATTCCATTGTATGAATAGATACATTTTATTTACCCATGCATTGGTGGGTGGACATCCTGACACCTGCTTTTGTAGATAAAGTTTTATTGGAACAGAGCCATGCCCATTCACAATGTGCTGTCTACTGCTTTTGTAAATAAAGTTTTATTGGAACACAGCCATGCCCATTCACTGTGTGTTGTCTGTGGCTGCTTTCAGGCCACAAAGGCAGCATTGAGTAAGTGAGTGGCAGCAGAGACCACCTGGCCCTCAGAGCCTAAGATATTTACTATTTAGTGCTTTACAGAAAAAAGAAAAAAAAATTGCCGATTGATCCCTGCTTTATATCATTGAATTCTCAAACAAGCAAAAAATCTTATCTCCATCAATCAGGTAGGAAGACAGAATCTAAGGGAGTTTGGGTAAGTTACACCTACATTATAGGTGATGGGAGGAGAGTTCCCACCCAGGCCTGTTTGCCTTAAAACTCAGGCTGTCTCCACTGAACCACTTACATCCTAGGTTAATGTGAGGGTCTGAGAGAAAGAACCCACGTGAATCGCCCAGCATAGAGCTTGGCACCAGGTGGGCCCTTAGGCAGGTGTCTGGGATTTTCTTGCTGGGTTTGGGTTTTGCTTGTTGCTGGAGCAGGGCTGGGTCTGCCTTCAGTTTGTGAGGTGCTGTCAGTGCAGCATGAGGATGGAGGCTGGAGAAGGGCCCGGGAAAAGGGGCAAAAGGAGCAGGGCAGAGGGGCCTCCTGCAGACATGGGAGTGTTCAGAACAAACGTAAATGAGGTGGTCCTCACAGCCCCTTGCTGAGTTTTTATCCCGTGCCAGACATTCTATTCAGCGGGCGTTTCTCAACCTCCAGACGAGTAACATGTGGGGCTGGGTAGTTTGTTTGTTGTGGGGGTGGGGCGTCCTGTGCATTGTAGGATGTTTAGCAACATCTCGAGACTTCCCTCGTTAGATACCATTAGCCTCCCCACCACCTCTCTGAGTTCTGACAACCAAAAATATCTCTAGGTATTGCCAGGTGTCCCCTGAGGGGCAAAATCTCCCCAGTTGGGAATCATCGTGCCAAGTGCACGATCCTGTTTACTCCTCACAACCGTATGAGGCTGGAACTATTATGTGCATTGTACAGACCGGAGGGCTAAGCCTCTCGGGGTGAGGGTCCGAAGCCCACAGAACTAGAAGGTGGTGCCGTCAGGACCGACGCCCACAGTGCACATTCTCTGCCAGTTCCTGTTTCCCTTTCTTAGCATAATTTTATGTTCCTTACAATATATACACCATACAATTATAATGATAATACTTCCAGTGTAGGGAGGAGGCAGGGACCTCGTTAGTCTGAGCCGTTTTCAACACTTTCGCGTTTGCATTGTTTAATAGCACCGTTTGGGGATCCAGACTGGGCTTATGTTATTCTCTGCGCCTGACTGGCTGTGTGACCATGAGCAAGCGACTCCCCCTCTCTTACCACAGTGTCCTTAGTTGTAAAACAAGGACGATGACTTGGGGACTATCGTGAGTCAAGCACTTACAGCCATGCCTGGTACCCAGAACGTGCTCGTGAGCGGCAGGATACCATTTTTCAATTTGTTTTTTCATATCAGGATGTCTTGGGTTTCACTGAGGCTCAAGCTGCGTAGAAGTGGGGTTTGGAGGTGGGTGCAGGGCATGGACAGGATGGTGTCTCAGAACTGGGGTTCAGATGGCTTTGAATGTGGACCAAAAGAGAGTGTCCTCAGCCAAAAGGTAGAATCAACCCAAAAGTCTATCAGTGGATGGCTGGATTAAAAAATGCAGTGTATCCATGCAATGGAGCATTACTCAGCCATGAAAGGGAATGAAGCACTGTCACAGGCCACCATGTGGCTGAACCTTGAGGACACTGTGCTGAGTGATGAAGCCAGATACCAAGGACCACACCATGTATGAGTCCACTTCAATGAGGTACCTAGAATCCTCAAACTTGCAAGGACAGAAAGTGAAATGGTGGTTGCCAGGGCTGAGGTCAGAGGGAGAATGGGGAGTGACTGTTTAATGGGTATTTATTTTGGTGGGGCAGTGATTATAAAGTTCTGGAGTCAGTGGCGATGGTTGCGCACCATTGTGAGTGCACCAAGTGCCACCAAATCGCACACTTCAAAGTGGTTAAGGTGGGTGCAGTGGCTCATGCTTGTAATCCCAATGCTTTGGGAGGCTGAGGTAGGAGGATTGCTTGAGTCCAGGAGTTGAAGACCAGCCTGGGCAACAAAGCAAAACAAAAAAGTAAAAAAAGAAAAAAGTAAAACAAAGTAAAAACAAACAAAAACAAAACAAAAACAATTAGCTAGGCGTGGTGACGCACACCTGTAGTCCCAGCTCCTCAGTAGGCTAAAGAAGAAGGATTGCTTGAGCCCAGGAGGTCTGCACCACTGCACTCCAACCTGGACAACAGGGCGAGATCCTGTCTCTAAAAAATGAAAACAGATTACAATGGTAAATTTCATGTTTTGTGTATTTTACTACTATTTCAAGACTGTTTTAAAAATGTGTGTTACCCACATGTGGCAAACAGTGCCTTTTTCAGGGAACAGCGTGATGAAATGGTCAGAGATGTTCTTGGGGAAACTGAGTCTGAGCCACACAGCAGTGGGAGACAGCACAGCACCGTGGTTAAGCTGCTGAGTCACGCAGCCCAGGATCCATAACCCGCCGTCACTGCTGGGCTGCCCAGCCTTGACCTAGTTACCTAACGTTTGTCCCTCAGTCATGTGCAGATGAGTAATACTTGCCTTGTGAAGAAGTTGCGGGGAATAACTACACATAACACTTTGAAAAGTGCTGCTCTGGTGCCTCGCACCTGGCACCTAGAAAGCTCTTTGTAAATTTTCCTCACTGTTGTCACCATCATCATCATGGCATTACATGAATGCCTGATTTGAGGAGGGATTGGTTGCCATGAGACACCTCATCTGTTTGAAGGTGATGGTAATATAGCTATTTTTTCCCAGTCCTTGAGTTTAAAAAAAAAAAAGAAAGATGGTCAAAAGCTGAGAGATGATCCATGGCTAAGAGTGGACCTCCCTTGGCAGAGATGAGAGCAGGAGCAAAACAGAAGGGGTCAAATGTGAAACAAGACTCTTACGTTTCAGTACTGTTGAGATGAGATGCCAGGAGCAGAAGATCCAGTGGGCATTGTTGGGCAGCAGTGGAGGCACCGAGAGGAGCGGAAAAGAAAGGGGTTAATGATGCCTCCTTCCTAGCTCCTCCCACCCTGTGGTTCTCAGAACAGACCTTCCCGAAAGAGAGAAATAAAGTGTCTTCCGGATTCAATGGGCTAGGCTGGGGCCCAGGATGGGTGACTTGAGATGCTTCTTTGAGACTTTACTCCTTTAGAGACGCATTAATCCATGTGGACAGAAGCCCCAGGTATTCCATTTCCATGGGGATTCGTCTTCCAGAGATTAGGAAGAAACTAGAGCATCCCTTTGAGCCTCCAGGGTTCTCTCTCATTTCTCCCCCCGAGGGTCAGGAGGGCGAGAGCCTGAGGAAGGAGCAAGGTGCCCCTCTTTGGTTCTCTTCTCAATGGCCCTCCCAACAAATACGTACAACTCAATGCTTTCTTGTCTTCTGGGGCAGTGGTCCTGTGAGCTTGGGGACGTGATATGCCAAGGGCTCACATACTCAGTCCTGCATGTAGCCCAGATCCACCGCACCCCGGACACCCGCGCGGCTCTCCACACCATCTGGGGCTTGCAGCCCACCCCGAAACCCCTTCAGAGAGGGGGGCGCAGATGGAGGGGCCCTCTCAACTTGTGTTCTGCCTTGAGAAGAACTATCCAAAGATTCCCTTCTTTTCCTTGTTGTCTCTTC